GTTACTTGGTATGAGGGCTCTGGAGGGTTGCAATATTTCCAGTAAGACCTTTCCTTCAGTAGCTGCAGGACTGTGCCACCTTGGGCTCCTCTGGGTCTTCCAGAAAAACCCAGAAGGGAATGGGCTTTTTAGGTCCAACCTGGCCTGACTGCCCAGGACTCTCTCAGAGAAAGGCTAGAGCTACATTCTCCATTCCTGCACATAACAAAATGCCGGTCTATCAAGTATAATCAATGGGCTGATCATGCCCAGGGTTACAAAGAACATGGCACTATGTTTCTTTCCTATAGCTATTTGGTCAAAGGCATGAAATAGGTCTTATTTATTTTTATTTCTCTCATTACAAAGCACAGCACTTTGTAAGTAATAAAACACTAAATAAATATTTGTTGGTTTAATGAATTAAGAGAAACTGATACTGTATACATGTCCTCTAGGAGTTTAATCTGGGCATAAGAATGAGTCATTTAGAGGGGGAAAATCAGGGGCTTAAGGCTCTGGTTTTGGAGTCAGAAAAGACCCAATTCAACCCCTTGCCATATTAACCCCAGTTCTTTCATCTTACAAATAGAGGTAATAAAACTTGGCTTAGAAGTGTGTGTGTTAGGATCAGAGGAAACATGCATTCAACTTATGACTTGTAACAACTCTGATAAGTACTCATTATTCTTTCTCCTTCTGCCCTTCCTACTTCAAAGGCAGGGGTATGCCTACTGTGTCTATTTTAGTACAGCCACAGTAACAGTACAGAGTATATACTCAATCCATATTTGTCCAGTAGATGAACAAAAATTCAAGAGAATTTTACAAAATTGAGAACATCATAAAAGCAAACTCTTTCGTCATATATGCTAACAGTATAAATACTTTAAAACTCTCATTTTTCTTCTCCTCTTGCAGATTTTCTGCATATTTACTAATGCAACTCCTCCTATATCTACTACTTCTTAGTCTTTATAACATCAAAACTACAGAAATGCGAAGTATCTTCATAAAATTCTTGTTTGATTTAAAAATTGTAATAGTTTGGGTAATTGGTATGATGAAATTAGCCTTTAAAAGCATACTTATTAAAGTTCAAACAATTATATACATATATGTATTTTCATATTTTATACCTGTAACAAATGGAAAATGGTTTTATATACCAAAGGGAATTAACTGCATTCTCTGCCTAGTGATTTTTTTTTTTTTTAAGATTTTATTTATTTATTTGACAGAGAGAGACACAGCGAGAGAAGGAACACAAGCAGGGGGAGTGGGAGAGGGAGAAGCAGGCTTCCCGCTGAGCAGGGAGCCCGATATGGGACTCGATCCCAGGACCCTGGGATCATGACCTGAGCTGAAGGCAGACGCTTAACGACTGAGCCACCCAGGCGCCCTGCCTAGTGATCTTGAGGTTCATATTTGCTAAAAGGAAAAAATCCTTGTGTACTGGAAGGATCACAGATCAATTCTACTATAATCTAATAAAACTTTAAAACTAAATGAACATTATGAAGTTCATGTACTGCATTCACTAGCAAAATCTTACAGGTAGTCACTGCAATTTTTCTAAATGATTAAACTATACAAAAATAAATAAATGAGCAAACCATAACCAAAACACATAAGAGAAGAAAGAGAGCTTAAATGATTTCTTCTTGTCAACTTCCTAACATTCTTTAGGCCATGGATATCTGAATAGGTAGTACAATGTGCCATAATTATAGTTTTATTTTATTTTTTTAAAAGATTTTATTTATTTATTTGACAGAGAGAGAGAGAATAAGTAGGGGAGCGGGAGAGGGAGAAGCAGGCTCCCCACTGAGCAGGGAGCCCAATGCAGCCTGGGATCATGACCTGAGCCAAAGGCAGTTGCTTAACCAAATGAGCCACCCAGGCGCCCCCATAATTATAATAACCTTTCTGAATCTCCCAACAATTTAACACAAAGTGGTAACATGCATCTGAAGGACATGCTTATGTATGAATGTGTGTATATATCCGAATGTGGATGTGCACATTAAGCATACACATATTAAGACATAATAGGGGTGCCTGGGTGGCTCAGTTGTTAAGCGTCTGCCTTCGGCTCAGGTCATGGTCCCAGGATCCTGGGATCGAGCCCCCCATCGGGCTCCCTGCTCCGCGGGAAGCCTGCTTCTCTCTCTTCCACTCCCCCTGCTTGGGTTCCCTTTCTCACTGTATCTCTCTCTGTCAAATAAATAAACAAAATCTTAAAAAAAAAAAGACATAATAGATTAGGTGCACGCACACACACACACAAACACATTTTAAAGGCATTCTGGCTCTCATCAAAGCAGTTTACCTTCAGCCAGTTTAATACATGTGGCAGAGTTCTAAATACAGAGTAAGTGATTAGTAAGTAAGTACATCAGTTGACCTGAATTGTGGAAATGAAAGTACTACCAAGGTAATATTAAAATATAGCTGTAAACGAGAATTAAAAAGTTCAAAATTACCAAAAAATATGTTTCTTTTGTCTATTTTAAAGGACCCAACCAATCCTTATTCTCTCTTTCCTCCTCAAGCCATCTGTATTTAAACAACTGTGAGCCAGGGACTGGACAGATTTTTGCTTCCTGCCAGAAGTTTAGCTGCCAGACACCAAAGCAGCAACATGAAACTAAAAAATGTTAAAAATTTAAGTTGCATTCTTTGTTTTGGGAAACATATCTCTGTGGATTCTTTTTCTTTTTTTTAAGAATTTATTTATTTATTTGAGAGAGAGAGAGCGAGAGAGCACACAAACAGGGGGGAGGGGCAGTGGGAGAGGGAGAAGCAGACTCCCTGCTGAGCAGGGAGCGTGATGGGGGGCTTGATCCTAGGACCCTGGGATCAAGATCTGAGCTGAAGGCAGACGCTTAACCAGCTGAGCCACCAGGCGCCCTTCTCTTTGGATTCTTAAAGAAGATATGGTGAGGGGCGCCTGGGTGGCTCAGTCGTTAAGCGTCTGCCTTCAGCTCAGGTCATGATCCCGGGGTCCTGGGATCGAGCCCCGCATCTGGCTCCCTGCTCGGCGGGAAGCCTGCTTCTCCCTCTCCCGCTCCCCCTGCTTGTGTTCCCTCTCTTGCTGTGTCTTTCTCTGTCAAATAAATAAATAAAATCTTAAAAAAAAAAAAAAAAGAAGATATGGTGATCCCAGATGCCAGTAAAGGGACTAATGAATGTTCTTGGGCTCCCCAGAGGAACACAGGGCATTGCAGACCTTCACATTGAGGACACATCCCTGAAAGCACATTCTGTGGCCAAGACTAAAACCAGAGCCCGGCAGCCCTTAATGTGGTCACCAATCACTTCATCAAGAAAATGGGCAGGAAACACACAAGTGAGAAAGACAGTGTGGATATAGTGGCTTTGGTAGAAATCCAAGGTGGGGTCTTACTAGTCATTGGTGTCACTGCTTGAATCATCACTGTGGTTGTAAGGAAAATATCAAGCAATTACTAAAGAGTTGAAGAATTATGTCATTTTGGCAACATTTAAAAAACTGTCCCTCTGCCAGTGTTAGAAGATGACCCATGGAAATGCTGCCTATGCAGTTCTAAAGCCATGGAGATCCCTCACTTTCCAGAGCAACGGAAAGAAAGGTAAACTGTAAGACACTCTGCCCTTTAAACATTTTCTCTTTTTATAAAATTCTATAAAACTGTTTATAAAATAAAATACATAGAAAACAGGAACAAAAGTAAACTGACTTGGAACCAAGATAATAAAATTCATTCAAATCATATTAGAAACTCTGTGTCTTCATTTTGACTATTCTTTGTTCTTGTTAAAATGAAAAGCAATCTGGAAATATCTATACATATATATACAGTACATACACACAAACATATACAAATGAAGCCCACATAGACTAGCCACAAGAGGGCGCTTCAACAATGAAAAGATACCACGAGGCTTATTTCATTCAGTAAGTACTGGGCACACATTTTCAAACTTTTGAAGACAAACTCCTACTCAAAATTATTCTTATTTCTCTATAGCCATAAGCCTTGCCAGATGCCCACATTTTAAGGGTCTCTCTCCATCTCTTAGACTCTAAATCTTCTGAACTAGAGGGTTAGTGCATCTAGTACTTAGTAAATGAGTCCTTATACTATCACATACAGATTAAAAAGATGAACAGCAAAACTGCCATGCTGTACACAGGGTGTTATGACGCAGCCATGTACAAGGCTTAGGAAAACTTTACTACTGAAACAGAAAAACCAGGTTCTTCCATCATGATCATTTTAAGCTGCCATATTTTAGAATATTTTTGAGTCTGGGGGCGCCTGGGTTGCTCAGTTGTTAAGCGTCTGCCTTCGGCTCAGGTCATGATCCCAGAGTCCTGGGATCGAGCCCTGCATTGGGCTCCCTGCTACGCAGGAAGCCTGCTTCTCCTTCTCCCACTCCCCCTGCTTGTGTTCCCTCTCTCGCTGTCGCTCTATCTGTGTCAAATAAATAAAATCTTAAAAAAAAAAAAAGAATATTTTTGAGTCTGACCCATACGATAACAGTTTTCACTTTATTATTTTTTTAAGATTAAAAAAACAAATTTTATTTATTCATTTGACATAGAGAGAGCATAAGTAAGGGGAGTGGCAGGCAGAGAGAGAGGGAGAAGCAGACTCACTGCCGAGCAGGGAGTCCAATGCGTGGCTCGATCCCAGGACACTGGGATCATGACCTGAGTGGAAGGCAGATGTTCAACTGAATGAGCCACCCAGGTGCCCCTTTTTATTAAGATTTATTTATTTATTTGAGAGAGAGAGAGGGCATAAGTGGGAGGGAGAGGAAGAGGGAGAGGGAGAATCCCAAGCAGGCTCCACACCCAGTGCAGAGCCCAATGTGGGTCTTGATCTCAGGACCCTGTGATCATGACCTGAGCTGAAATCAAGAGTTGGATGCTCAACCTACTGAGCCACACAAACGTCCCTGGTTTTTACTTCAAAACAAAATATAACATTTCCATGTAATTACTATTAGAAATGGTATGTCAGGATCTATACCTAGAGAGACTTCCTTAATTAGCTCAGCAGCAGCATGGCAACCCTGAACAAGTATCCTGGTCCAAGTTGACAGATCCCGATGTGTCTCCACCCTGAAGAGATGCATCTCAATGCCCTGCCGAGAGCCTGTTCTGGTAGCAAAGGTAAGGTCAGATCCAAGTGAGGGTGATCGACATCCGGAGCCAGAATGAACCAACCTAGGACCACAAAGAGGGCAAAGATCAAAAGTAATTAATGTACTGGTATAGGAAAATGTCAGCAATTTATGCTGATAAATAAGCAGAGAGTTATAAAAGCCATCTGCAGTTTTTGGAAAAGTACGTTTCAAAACAATATTATAGTCTTTGAAGTATATACTGTTGTTTTCCCATAAAATAACCCCTTGAGTCACAGACAGAACACTGGGCTGGATGAGCTAAGGCCAAATTTTCCATTGGCTTTTTTATGCTCTGAAAAGGCTGTGCATGTCAAAAAAAAAAAAAAAAAGGTTCAATTTTGATTAGGAAGTGTTAAGCCCCCACATGCGAACAGCCTCCCTTACTATCAACATCACTCACTAGATGGTACTTTTTTTTTTCTACCAAGAATGAGCCTACACTGACACATCGTAATCACCTGAAGTTCACAGTTTACTTTAGGGTTCACTCCTGGTGTTGTACATTGTATAGGTTTGGACAAATGTGTAACAACATATATCCATCATAATATACAGAGTATTTTCAATGCCCTAAAAATCCTCTTTGCTCTGCTTATTCATCCCCTTCCCCTCCTCCTAGCAACCACTTATCTGTATACCTTTTACTTCCTTTTCTTAACTTAGTGCATTAGCAAGGATTGCTGGTACAATGTTGAAAAGGAGTGGCAAGAGGGGACAGGACATCCTTGCCTTATTCCTGATCTCAATGGGAATGCTTTGGGTTTGTCACTATTAAGCATGATATTGGCAATAGATTTTTTGTAGATAGTCTTTATCAAGCTGAGAATGTTCCCCTCTATTCCTAGTTTACTTTTTTTAATCATGAACGGGTGTTGGATTTTGTCAAATGACGTTTCTGCATCTCTTGATAGATTGATATGATTTTTCTTGTTGAGCTTGTTGATGGGATGGATTACATTAACTGATTTTCGAATATTGAACCAGCCTTGCATATCTGGGATCAATCCCACTTGGTCATGATGTATAATTCTTTTCATACTTTTTTGGATTTGATTTGCTAATATTTTGTTGAGGACTTTGCATATATATTCATAAGAGATATTGGTCTACAGTTTTCTTATAATGTCTTTGTGTGGTGTTGGTATTAGGGTAATGCTAGCCTCACAGAATGAGTTAGAAAGTATTCCCTCTGCTTCTATCCTCTGAAAGAGATTGTAGGGAATTTCTTCCTTAAATGTTTGGTAGAATTCACCAATGAACCCATCCAGGCCTGGTGCTTTCTTTTGGAAGACCTTACACTTTCCACAAAAAGTAACTCAAATGGATCTTAGATCTAAATGTAAAACGCAAAAGTATAAAACTTCCAGAAGACATTGTAAGAAAAAATCGAGGTAATCTAAAAAGATACAACACCAAAAGCATGATTCATGGAAAAAAAATTGGTAAGTTGTACTTTCTAAGTTAAAAACTTCTGCTTTGAAAGACACTGTAAAAGAATGAAAAGACAAGCCACAGAATAGGAGAAAATATATGAAAAACACATATCTGATAAAGGACTAATATCCAAAATATACAAAGAACTCTTAAAACTCAACAATAAGAAAACAAAAAACTCAGTTAAAAAATGGGGGGGGGAGGGCAAAAGACTCACTTCTTAGTACATATCCAAAAGAATTGAAATTAGATTCTTGAGATATTTTACATCTATGTTCATAGCAGCATTATCCACAATAGCCAAGAGGTAGAAGCAACTTACATATTTGTCTACTGGCAGAATGAATGACTAAAGAAAATATGGTATACACATTCAACAAATTATTATTCAGTCTTAAAAAGAATGAAATCTTGTCATACATGCCAACACACATGAACCTTTTAGACATTATACTAAGTGAAATAAGCCAGTCACAAAAAGACAAATACTGCCTGACTCTACTAATATTAGCTACCTATAGACCAACTCTTAGAAACAGAAAGTACAATGGTGAGTTGAAGCCAGTAAGTCATATCAGTGACTGTGCATCTCAGGGTTTTAATGAAATTCTTACATGAACATTTCATCTAACTCCTGATTGACTGGAGAAGGGACCATTATTTCTGATAAATGTTGTACCTGGGGATTTTGCAAGTCTAATCTGTTCTAAAAGCTTTTATTTTTAGGCTGTGAAAATTACGATAAGGATGAGACATAACTGGGGTGCTTGGCTGGCTCAGTCAGTAAAGCATGTGATTCGACCTCAGGGATGTAAGTTCGAGTCCCATGTTGGGTGTAGAGATTACTTAAAAATAAAATCTTTTTTTTTTTTTAAGATTTTATTTATTTATTTGACAGAGAGAGAGAGAGCACAAGGAGGGGAGTGGCAGGCAGAGGGAGAGGGAGAAGCAGGCTCCCCACTGAGCAGAGAGCCCGCTGTGAGGCTCGATCCCAGGATCCCGGGATCATGACCTGAGCTGAAGGCAGACACCCATGGCCAGTTAAGTACATGAAAAGATGCTCAACATAAAAAAAAAAAGAATGAAACATATTAATTTCTGTTCCTAAAGTAAATAGCCAGTGAAAACTGATTTCCTAACCATTGGAACTACTTGACTACAACTTTTGACTCCCATTTACTTGAGATGTAATACTGGTCCACTATATTAACAAAACAAAAATGATGTGCCATCTTTTTACTTTGAAAAGCGAGTTCCAACTCATTTGGGTGGGGGGTAGGTAGTGATGATCCTGAAATATTTTTAGATGTAACAAAATGAGAGCTTGAATTAATCATTTTGGGGAAAAGGTTCAAATCAAGTATGAGACAGCAACAACACAAAGTACAGAAGAGAAAAAACACTGAGAAACAATTAGCAAAAAACCTTAGAGTTTCTATCATATACTGTATATACTCGGCCCCATGAGATGGCCCAAGAATAGAGTTTCAAGGACAAAGAAAAGAAATATAACATACATGAACTAAAAACTATTTTCATAGGAAAAGAGCAGAATACTGTCTAAGAAAGTAGTGAGTGTTAACAAAATATATATATATATATATTTAAGATTTTATTTATTTGACAGAGAGAGACACAGCGAGAGAGGGAACACAGCAGGGGGAGTGGGAAGGGGAGAAGCAGGCTTCCCACTGAGCAGGGAGCCCGATGTGGGACTCGATCCCAGGACCCTGGGACCATGACCTGAGCCAAAGGCAGACACTTAATGACTGAGCCACCCAGGTGCCCCAAAAAATATATTTTAAAAATCCCTTCAACCAGGGTGCCTGGGTGGCTCAGTTGGTTAAGCGACTGCCTTCAGCTCAGGTCATGATCCTGGAGTCCCAGGATCGAGTCCCACATCGGGCTCCCTGCTCAGCAGGGAGTCTGCTTTTCCCTCTGACCCTCTCCCCTCTTGTGCTCTCTCACTCTCTCTCTCAAATAAATAAATAAAATCTTTAAAAAAATAAATAAAAATAAATAAAATGCAAGGTTGAACATCCGAAAATCAATATGCTAATACACCATATAAACAGGTAAAGGACAAACCCACATGATCATTGTATTAGACATGGAAAAAGCATTTGACAAATTCCATACCCTTTCATGAGGAAAACACCCCTTACAAACATGGAAGAGAAGGGAACTTCTTCAACCTGATAAAGGCATCTATGAAAAACCCATAGCTAACATCATGCTTAATGGTAAAAGACTGAATGCTTTCCCCTTAAGATTACGAAAAAGACAAGGATGTCTGTTTATGCCACTTCTATTTAATATTGTACCGGAGATTTTAGCCAGAGCAATTACGCCAGAAAATGAAATAAAAGGTACCCAGAAAAGAAAGTAGTACAACTACCTTTTATTTGAAGATGACATGATCTTGTACATAGAAGTCCTAAGGAATCCACTAAAAACCTATAGACTAATAAACGAGTCAAGCAAGAATGCAGATCAAGACATAAAAATCAATGTGTTGGGGCACCTGGGTAGTTCATTCGGTTAAGTGTCTGACTCTTGATTTCGGCTCAGGTCATGATCTCAGGGTCGTGAGATGGAGCCCCGCCTTGGGCTCCATGCTGAGCATGAAGCCTGCTTAAGATTCTCTCTCTCCCTCTCCCTCTGCCCCTCCCCCCCAAAAAAATCAATGTATTGACTGTATATAGTAGGAGCAAACAATCTAAAAAGGAAATTAAGAAAAAAAATCCATTTGCAATAGATCAAAATGAAAAAATACTTAGGAATAAATTTAGCAAAAGAAGTATAAAACTTGGGGCGCCTGGGTGGCTCAGTCGTTAGGCGTCTGCCTTCGGCTCAGGTCATGGTCCCAGGGTCCTGGGATCGAGCCCCACTTCGGGCTCCCTGCTCAGCGGGAAGCCTGCTTCTCCCTCTCCCACTCCCCCTGCTTGTGTTCCCTCTCTCACTGTATCTCTCTCTGTCAAATAAATAAATAAAATCTTAAAAAAAAGAAGTATAAAACTTATACTAAGAAAACTACAAAACATTGCTGAAATAAATTAAAGACCTAAGTAAATAAAAAGATACCCTGTATCATGGACCAGAAGACAATGTTTTTAAGATGGCAATATTTCCTAAATTGATCTACAGATTCAAGGCAATCTCTACCAAATTTCATCTTTTTTTCCCCAGAAATTGACAAGCTGATCCTAACATCCATGTGAAAACGCAAGGGACTCACAATCACCAAAATAATTTTGAAAAAGAACAAAATTGGGGGATTCACACTTAAAACTTACCACAAAGGTATAAAATTGAGAGTCCAGAAAAAAACCCTCACAGTTATGATCAATTGATTTTTGCCAAGAGAGTTCAATGGAGAAAGAATAGTCTTTTTAACAAATGGTACTGTGATAACTGAATATTCCCAAGCAAAAGAATGATATTTGATCACTACTTCACACTATACAAAAATTGACTCCTTATGGATAAAAGAATGAGTGTGAGAGCTAAAACTATAAAACTTTTTTTAAAATATTTTTTATTTATTTATTTGACACAGAGAGAGAGAGAGAGCACAAGCAGGGGAAGTGGCAGGCAGAGGGAGAA